AATACAAGTCCATAATTTATATTTGCATTTAAATTGCCCTTGGAGCACAGAACATTTCTGTCATTAAATATACTTGAAAATAATTTGTTTGTACTGTGTATACACACAGTTCCAATTAGTTGTATTACTTTAGAACATTCAAAATTGTCTTCCACTACACAAAATCCATGCTCAAATCCATCAGTACTCAATGGAGCTCATAAAAGATTTGAAGTATATCATTCAGGTATTTTAATTTTAAAATAAATAATATGTCTCATGGTATCACGGATCCCTTTTTGGAAGGATATTCTCAGTTTTAAATGTTTGCTCACTCCCAACAGTTTCTTTGAGCTGTTCAGATTAAGGCCCAGCCAGAGGGAACCAAAGCAGTCAGAGTTTAAGCCCAACAGAGCACATTTTCCTGCTATTCCTTATGCACTCTTATGAACCAAATCTTTGGTTTCAGCTTTATGCCTCTGACTCCTGCAGAACACAAGGGTGGGGTTTTCTGCAAGGTAAAATTTTCTGCTTCAAATCTTAACTGCCAGGAGAGCAACTCTGACACCACTCCAATATGATGCAGTTATTTTCTTAACCTAAACCATTCCAGATCTTGTTACAGGATGGTCTCAAAACCAAATCCACTGGTATAGCCAAGGTCATCAGAAGGAGAACAGAAAGTTTAAAAATCATGATTTGAAGCATTCTTTGCTCTGGATGGTACAACTAGACCAGAACCCTTGGAGACAACAGCCTGAAACAGAGAGCACATGGCACTGGGAAATCGCATAGCCTTGCCTGCAGGACAGTGAGTTCTGCCTTCACACACAGGATTTCTCTGAAAGAGTGGAACACACTGGCAGCTACTCCAAAAAAGCTGCAGCACTTTGAAATTCCCTGCCTTTCTTGCTCTAAAATCACTTCCTTCTAGACCTAGCACTGGAGATCACTACCTCAGTTCCTCTTTAACACTTCCTCTGCTGCTTTCTGCAGTTAAACTGTGTTAAGTAGTTTTTGAGCATCACAATCCTCTAACATTAACCAACAGAAAAAGCAATTATACTATTTCAATTTAAATGACAGAAAAATTAAGGTTTGCCCTTTCCAAAACTTCCATTTTTTTTTTATTTTTTTTTTTTTTTTTTTATTTCTCCCAATTTGCATCGCAAACAGCTCTTAAGAACACAGATCAGAAAAATCCACTGGAAGATAAGCATTTTGCACTCATCAGAAGCAAGTTCTAAGAAATCTGATCCATAATTTCTTCACAGTTTCATTTCTTTTCCTGCAGTTTGTTCAGCACTACACAGTCACTTCCTGTACGTACCATGGAATTTAATGGTTGGAAAAGAAAAACCTTCCAGCTTAATTTTGTGATTGATTACAAAGACACATAAATACTTCTTCCATTTTACTTGGAAAATGCAGAGCATAAGTGTTACCTTTGAATATGGCAAAGTGACATCTATGGTTACCAGACTTTGAAACCATGCAAATTCACTATTCATAATCTTACCTACAATCCAATTGTTATATCCTTAGCTGACACACTGGGAAACACTTGATGGAAGAGTGAAAAGCATTGCTACAATACACTTGAAAAAGCCCAAGATTGTCCTAACAATGCTTCTCAGCCCATGGCTTCTTTTCACACACTGTCCAAAGAACCGGACAGCCATCACCATGGTAAGGAGCCTGCAGGATTCATTTCCACTTCCCATTCAAGGAGAAGGTTTTTCATTTCCCAGGAGATTGAATTTCACCCCATCCTGAAGAAGAAGGACCTAAGAGAGAGAGCTCTGGTTCTGTACTACAGCAAGTAGCACTTGATCTACATGGTCCTACTTGTGTATCTCCTTGTGCTGCCCCACTTCCTAGACTTTGTGAACAGCCACACTGAATCACAGAATATGCTGAGCTACAAAGGATCCACAAGGATGATCAAATTCATGTGTTAGTAGAAAATAATCTAGTTCTATCCTAAATTAATCTGTCCAGTTAGCAAGCTGGACCCAATCCAGCACATACTGGACCCCAACTGGACCCTTCCCCTTCGCTTGGGATAAGTTACTGACACCTCCAGACCCCAGTGCTGGCAGCACTACCTGTCTGTCCATCTCAGGTCCATAAGCATCTCCCAGAGGCACACGGAGACCAAACCCCAGTCAGCAGACAGAATGACAACACCCAGCACACCCAGGCAGCCAAGTCCAAGTCTGCAATAACACTGCGTGAAGGCTTGGCTCACATTTAACCTCAGAATCAGATCAGCCAATAACCTTGGTTATCATCTGGATCCCAGCTACCAGAATTCAAGCATTAAAGATGCTTTTGGTTACTGTAGAGTGCTACCTTGAGTGTTCCCAGTCTAAAATCCAGGGCTGCAGTGAAAGCACAGCCCAGAACTGACCTGAATGGCTGAGGCACCGGAGAGCCTCTGTGTGCTCCAGGGCCTGCAAGGACTCTGCCAGCTCCACCACAGTGCAGCCCCGATCCCCCAGCAGCTTCAGCAGACTCCAGCTGGGACTGCCTTCCGGCTCCAGCACCTGGAGGGAACACTGCTCCAAGTCCAGCGGGCTGTGGAATAATGCGAGAAAGACAAGACACAGACCTTCTCAATACCTTTTCTTCAGAAAGAACCTGGGTAAACAATCACTTGTAGATAAATAAAAAGACTTTCAAAAATAGAGATGGGAAATTCCTAGTTGATTTGGACATATTTGCAGCATTTCCTTCAAGTTTCAGGAGTTCAGAGGTTATTCAGTGACACCTCCACAGGCAGAAACTAGTATTAGTGAGCTAGATGGTAAAAGGGATGCATTTTCCTCACAATTCTCAGTAAATGTATTAAGAAACCTTCTAATTTTCACTTTTAAAGTGTCAGCAGAAAAAGTAGTACAGCACCTTTCATTTCCATGAGCCTAATTCAGAAGCCGTAGAGAGTGAGTCAGACTCTTAACTTCAAAGTACAGGAAGACTGATTTTAAAGTTGTTGTAAACAAGTGACTGCTGGAGCCCAGCCTAACACACCGACTGCGCAGTGTAGTTAACTGTGTCTAAACTTTATCGTTTCAACTTTGGCGTCGTCATCCCGCACGTTCAATCACAGAGGATTCAATCACAAATAAAGAAATAATGACAGCTTCCGAAAGAGAATACAAGGTTACGCATTTCCACTAAAAAGATTCATCAACGTTTCCTTCCTTAAATCACAGTGCCACGCAAACCTGGGGGCGAGATACCTTCAGTACGCGGTGATACCTTCACTCACCAAGCGGACTTTCAGTGTTTTACGGGATTAGAGAGGTAAACACGCAGCGCTGGGCCGCGCCCCGCCGCCGCTGCCCGCGCCCCGCCGCCGCCCGCGCTCACCTCAGCCGCACCGTGCCGCGGCTCCCCGCTCGCTGCGCCAGCTCCCGCCAGCCCTTGCCGGGCGCCGCGCGGTCCAGCAGCTCGCTGAGCCTACGGAGCAGCGGCCCGGCCAGGCGGCTGAGGAGCAGCGGCCCCGCCGCGCCGCGCTCCATGGCTCCCGCCGCGGCGGCGCTGCCGCCCGGAAGGAAGCGCCGCGCGGGCAGCGCGGGACGGGGCGGCGAGCGGGGCGCGGCTGAGGGGAGCGCGTGCACCGCGCCCTGAGGGGGGCCAGCCCTGAGGGCACCGCGCCGCGGGGACGTCCCGTCCGCCCCCTCGGACACCGAGAGGGAACACACCGGGTGCGGGTGTACCCGTGTTGAAATGGGAGTGTCGTGTATCCGACTGCGAGGGCGAGACCTCCTGCAGCGTCCCCAGCTGGCGCTGAGAAGGCCGAACGTGGCTTTAGAACCGGGCCTGGGGCGTAAACCAGAACAAAGCCCACAGGACGCTGCGGGCAGGGATTTCGCTTTGAGGAGAAACAGCTTTATCCAACTGCAACCAGCACGACCATGGACTCTCCTCCTTGCACAACTTTCCCCAGCCTGCTGCCACAGTGGAAGCGCGCAGTGTAAGGCACCTTGCGTCCTTAGCGAGGGAGAGGAGGGGCCGCTCGGGAAGAGGCTCCCAAGGAGATGTTCCCGTGGGTGATGCTCATCGCTGCAAACGGACAGATGGTCTGAGGAGAATTCTCACCTCTCTGGTATGGCAACTTGCTCAAAGTGGACTGAAAGTGCCTAAGAAAGTAATTTTATGAACATTTTTAATCAGTGATCAAGCATTCAGGTAGCTCAGAGAGGGGGTAGATGCCCCATCCCTAGAAGTGTTCAAGATCAGGTTGGACGGGGCTTGGAGCAACTTGGTCTGACAGAAGTTGTTTCTGCCCATGTTGGTGTAGGACTATATAACTCTTAAAGGCCCCTTCCAACCCAAACTGTTCCAATTTGGACGTGGCTGCCTGTCATTTCTTTGGGGGTTATTTTGACTATTAGGATCTTATATAAAACACAGATATCCTTATTGCTATTTCTGGATGAGGGTGGTTGGAAGTGCTGTATTTATTGCTGAAAACCTGTTTCCTATCTGTGTAGATAACACTGGGAGCAAGAAGTATTTAGCACAGTAGTATCTTGTAACAAGTTCTAGCTGCATCCTTCAAAATGCTTAAGAAAAAACTTGGCACAAAAGTTGCTTTTCAGCCTCTTCCAGATCCCTTGAGCTCAGGGCAGTTTCTGCAATTCATTCCACTTTGCCCTGTGTGAGACTTGTCTCCTTGGGTACCAAGAGTGGAAATACTTTCTTACTTCAGGATTTTCTTATTTGCCTTTGAGGGATGAGAATCATTCGGTAATTTCTGTGTAAAGATTATGAAAAGTCCACTGTCCACCTTTGATTTCCTCAGCCTACTTGTTAGACACTGTGGATTTCCTCATGCTCAGCAGAACTTTTGTGTGCTTAACTTCCAGCAAGTAAGAAATTCCCAATGTGCCCAGGAGAGCAGTAAGGCACGTGCTTCAAAAAACACGCCAGTGCTTTGTTATGAAAAGCTAAGGCCAACACTTCCTCTGTCTCAAGGCCATTAGGAAATTCCTATGGACTTCTATGGAAGTAGGATGTGCCCTCTTCTCACTGCCAACTCCCTGTCTGGCAGAGGTTTTCCCAGGAAGGGCCATCTGCTGCATGTAATGAAATCGTCTCTCTTAAAAGTCAAACTGTTCAGTGATCAGACTCCCTATCCTGAGGTCACACTCCAAAACACCAGCGAAGCCATCGGGCTGGCTTGCAGCTCCAAACAACACGCACAAATTCAGCCTCCTTTGTCTGCAGCAGGGAGGCCCTGCCCAGGACCAGCCTATCCCAGAACATCCACGAAGAGCTTGAGGGTAAGTGAGGCGTCCGGGTGTTTGACTTTGAAAATGATTTGTCTGCTTTTTTCTCCTGTGGGCAAATAGAGTGTGTATCATAAAACACTGATAAAGGAAGAAAAGCAAGTTAGTTTTATTATCAATGCACTACATGGATATAGGGATTTATACTGCTATTGACCAGGAAATGGGATTTGTTATTTCCTTCTGCTAAAGAAGAGCCATTTTTGTTTATCCTGATAGATTTAGGTTTTTCTAAACATGTTGCATTTATAATTCTGCTCACTGTTTCTGAAACTACACTCTGCTACTATTTCCACCAAGTCTCCTTAAGACAAAATTGCAAAAATTGTACGAAAGCAAGCTTCCTTCTCTAAAGACTGTGTAAGTGATACTAGGTATCCTGAAAAACACATTTATGAATTCTAAATATTTATTGCACTGTCTAATACTCATTAGATAAAAAGTTCCTCCATTCTTGAGAAAAAGGTCTGGTCACTTGTTAGTAACAGACGATTCCCAGGCTTCGTGAATTGCTCAGTCTGACAGGGTCAGATGCTTGACAGATGTTAAAAATAGATTAAGACAGATCAGTGTTAAGAGTTGTGCTGTGATTGCTTATTTTAATTACGCTATATTAAGGTGTTTGTTTGACATGTGCAGAGTCAGTCATTTATTATTCTATTTAGCTGATGAATTATGGCTGAGGTGTTTTTACAGCGTGGGGCTGTTTACAGTGGGTACTGCACTAATCAAAATGTTGTCAAAAAGCCTTGGATATTGGCAGCTGAAGGACCGCAATGTATCACAGAATTTTTGGCAAGGGCATATTTTCCAGACATCTGCTTTTTGAACAGCCACAACTTCACTGATGTTTTTCTTACCTAGACCTTGTTAATCCAATAGATAGTGTGATAACTGGTTTAGATAATTCAGCGTTTCTGTAGTTTGGTTTCTGACACTGTGCACTCTTTGACAAGTACGCTGCTCGAGGTGTTCCATTTGGTTGTGGTATCTCGACGGACTTGGAAGAGAATAATGTGGTTATAGTTATTGTTTGTATTTGAGACAGAACTGAACCAGGCAGAACTCCTGTGAGGGGGAGAAACAAGCAGGAAATGGATCATTGTAAATTGTGCACATGTGGGTTCTCATTACTACCCCATCACATGTTTCACTCTGTGGTAGGCTGACTGCTGTATAAATCCTCACTATAGCCCTGTGGTTGAGTAGAGTTCACAAAGTTACAATGAATCTGGAATTCTGGTTTCTGTTCTCTTGGAGGTTGTAACTTTTACAAGGTAACAGTTTAAGAATGCAACCATGATCACAACACATTTGGAAAATGTTTTTGTGGTGCTCCAAGTTGGGAAGCTTGTATAGACCAGGAATAGTGGATCAGAAATTTCACGTGGAACTTGATTCCATTAGTACTTACAGATGCACTGAGCTTAAAAGATTCACAATGTCAGTGCTGATGAAACCTTTAGCCAAAAACTTTTGAAATCTTTGATTTCTATTAAAGGGAAAGTTTAAACAGAGAACATTTAAAACAAACAAAAGCATTTAAACATAGCAAAACATTCATGGAACCTTTCTGGAAAGATGAAGTTATATGTTCCAGATCATAAGTATATTGTATGTATTTCCATACAGAGCATATAATACCTCATTTCAGAAATACAAATTGGTGTGTAATGTCTGTGTTAATTGTATAACTGAAAAGTCTTGTGTTTTGTTTTACTTTGGAAGAAGAAAAATGTTAAACTTCAAAAGATCTCTGTTGAGAGCTGCCCTGCATGAGGAGTAAAAAAAATATGTATGTTCCCAGACAAAAAACAGTTGACAGGGTGGGAATGGGGATTGGATGCAATTATACCTGTTGACTTCTTAGAGAAGCTAAACGAAACATATGCAAAGTTCTGTAGGAAAGCTAAGACATATTTGAGGGACATTCCAAGGAGAATGGCAAGGGAATTAGCATTAACCTTGGAGCATTGCAGCATTTAAGCAGGACACTCAGATTTCACAGGTGACAGGTTTTTTGTTATACATATGATGCTGTAGTTGGTCAGTCTTGGGATCCTGTGGTTAGTTGAGATTCCTTTCTGCCTTTTTTTTTAATTTTTATTGTTTCTGTTCTACTTATGCTGTTTTCTGTTCCTTTAATCAATATTTCTTACATCCTGCTGTTCATACCAGCAAGCTTTGTGGTTGGATCTATGTAATATATAACCATTTCTGTTCATCATCAGGACAAGTTCTCTGGTTATTGGTGGCTTGGTTTGGAGATATTTCATGTTCATCTTACATGAAGTCTAATTATATTGACCAAATATATTATATTTCTTTGTGGTTTAGCTACTTGTGAGTAAAACGTCTCTTAAAGGGAATGTATAATGTATGCTCAGGCAGGTGGAGAACGCTTTTGCTAAATCTAAGAACAGGGGTAGGGTAGGGTGGGATGGGATAGGATAGGATGGGATAGGATGGGATAGGGTGGGAGAGGAGAGAGGAGAGGAGAGGAGAGGACTGTGTTGCAGAACAGTAACTCCAGATCCCAAAGTTCAGCCTGTGGAGTGGAGGGCATAGTGGGAAGCTCAGCTGGCAGCTGCGGAGTTGTCTCAGACCAAAAAGCTCAGATTAAAAAAAGCAAAGCACACAAGCACTGACTCTCTAAACAGGATCTGTCTGCTGGAGAAGCGTTCAAAGAACAGGTGAGCAGACTGTGTGTGGCTCACATCCACATCCTCCTCAGGTGCACCTACGTACAAAGGAGAAAGGCTGGCCTTTTTGTGCGTACAACTTTGGTGAAAGTTAATCCTTAAGGCAAAGGGTTCTGACTGAATTGGTGTGGCCAGCAGCAGTTCAGTTCCTGCAGCCATGGTCCACGTGCCCTGAGGCACGCAGTGTTTCTGGAGCTCTCTCTCATGTTTCAGGTATCCCAGAACTGCTGTCAGCTCGGTGTGGAGAGCCCAAAGTGTTGGTTGATGAAAGGCTGTTTCCCAGTGCGAACCACTGTGGCATTATCAGTGTCATTCCCCCGGTGTTCTGCTGAGATACCGCGCGTGTGGGCTCACTCAGCCTCCCCCCTTCCCACTCCTCTGGCCCGGTGGGTGTGAGGCACATCCTTGGCAGGACCTGCTCTGAGTGGGAGCTTTGGGGGGGTCACAGCATTGACCAGGTGCTCACCGTGCCATGGGAACGCGTGGGACGGGCCCTGAGCCCCAGGGCTGCGGCCGCACAGATAACGGGACGTGGCTCCTGGCTGGGTGGGACAGCTCCAGCAAGGTCAGGGACGAGTGAGTGCTGCTGGAAGATAGGAAGGAATCCTACTGAAAAGGGTGTGGGCTGAGGAGGGCCTGCACACAAAACAGAGATTACTCCATGAATAGATCTTAAATAAAAGAAAAATGCTTCAGAGAGGTCATAAAGGGGGTTTTTCCACTGACTCTAGAGGACACGAACCTCACAGAAAGGCACAAATTCACTTCTGTGTTGCTAAAATGCATAAGCTTCCTGTATAAATAATTTCTGAATATAAAATTGCTTACAAAGGAATGTGAAAAACAGAAATCATTGCTTAGAGTTTTTAAAAGTTTTATGATAATAATAGTAATAGGATTAAAAAAGGACAATATTTCCAGTGCTGGGGGAGGTGGTGCATACAGACAGTGTTATCTTTATACAGTTACATCGATAAGATACATGCATATTCTTGTGTTTCATGCATTTTTCAAACGTTCTTTTGAACTTTCTGGTGTTTTGGCAACTCCTTTGTTTGACTTCTTCATACTCCGGCTTATCTGCATGACATGCTGGGTGTCAGGTCAATATATTTTATTTCTTCTTGTGTCTCCATCCTGCTGTTTCACATCCTCTGATAAGACTTTAGTATGTCCTCCTTAATTTTAACATGGTCTTCTCTAATTGTCCTCCGGCGCTCTGGTTTGTGTCATGGTTATCTTATCACTTGGACAGGTTGGTCAGTGGATGGCCTTACACTGTTTTTGGTTACACAAAAGCCTTTTTTTTCACATCTTATGTTTTGCTAAGGTCTATAACACAGTACATTCATCACACTGTTATTTCCATAAGTGATACATAGCTGTTATATTCATTACACTACTATTTCTATGAGCAATACAGTGCATACTTCAGCTGATAGATTATATTATACTAAAATGCAGCTAAAAACAGTTATAATTGATACTATTTCTAAATAGTTATAACCACTAACAGCATGCATAGGCTAATACATAAATGCAAAAGCAAATATTATGTAGTCATTTTTCAGAGGAAGATTTTCATTTTGGTAGTAATTTAATAAAGTAGGAAAAAATGTGATGCAAGAGAGAAAATTTAATGGCCACTTTTCAAGTTTAATCAAGTTTATATTTTTTTGTCGGTTAATTTTTTTTTCTGACATGAGGAATAATCCCTCAGGTCCCTCTGAAATCACTAGAAGTGGCTTTGTCACCAAAACTACCTACAGAATATAAAATAATTTAAATTTTTTTCCTTCCATGTTAAAGTGTAATTCAAAACTGTTTTGATCTCAATTGAAATAAATTATCAAATATTGAACATATTTAATAACGTATAAAAATAAGGTTCAATTTGGAGTGATGTCATTTCAAGGAAAATAATTTCGAACAGTCAAATTTTATATTTAGAATTGGAATTTCAGACAATACTTGCACTATGAATAGTGAACAGGCTTTTCACAACCAGTGTGGAATTATGGCAAAGTATGAATTTTAAATGAAAAATCTCTTCTGGAAATTGACTTGAATTTGTTTTATTATATATTTGCCTTACAGAAATGTTGGGTCATTGTTTTAGCCATTTTGATGCTTTTGCCAGCCATTCTTTTGTTAAATATTATTTGACATGGATTGTTTTTCACAAACCCTGATAACTTCCTGCCATCAAAGGGTTTTGGCGAAGCAGCTCCATCTGCCTCTTGCTGCCTTGTTAATCTGACTGTTGCAGGTCTGCATCAGTTCAATATTTCTCCTCAATCACACCCAAGCACAGTTGTCAGGTTTTTGTTCTCATGCTGCTCCCAGCTTTGTTCTCCCTTAATCTCAGTTCCCAGGCACTGAGCTCAGGCAGGACCAGACCCTGCTGAGCATGAACTTGTGTTTCATTTGCCTCAAGGACTACCATAAAAAATTCCCCATGGTTCTGATCAGTACAAAATGGAAAATCTGTTTACAGAAGATTAGAGAGCCAAACAAGGCGTATTTCCTGCCATGACCTGCTCAAACCTGGGGTGTGAATTCCTCCTGTGTGGCTGTGCTTCAGGTGTCTCCTGTTGTGAGCCAGGACCTGATTCAGCAAGTAACATCATTGGTTTTCAGAGTGAGAGCTGGGACAAGCAGCCACAACACCCTGGCATGTTCTCATGTCTTCTGCCAGCAAGTGTTCCACTCCACTTTATTGAGAAGCAAATTAATTTTCAGGTTACTAGTCAACAGCTGATGGTAAATTACCATGGTGTCTCCCATTCCTCTTCCCTCTGTGAATTTCACTATGCATCCTCTGTCACAAGTTTTCCTGACGAGCTGAGAGGGTATAGTACTAAAAGTTCTCTTTCCAGTTTCTGTCTAAATTCAGTAATTGAATTTTAAAAAAATCTTAATACTTTCTATTTTCTTCCCAGATTTAAAAAAATAGTATCTCTTTGTCTTGGGTGGAAACCCATCATTTATTGCAGTTTTCTCCTGGAATGTTATTTTGCTTTCATTTCTGTGGTTGCATCTGACAGTGCATGGAAATCCAATGTAATTTTCATATGGAAAATTCTTGACAGCTCTTTTCCCCTCAATGTCAGAGTGCAGCCAAACTGAGACAACAATAACTGTCTACTACAATGGCTTTAGTAAAGGCTCTTCATTAGCCAATCTACATTAAAAACATGTTGCCAAAGCACTTTTCAGCTGGGGAAATTACCATGCTTTTAAAATAATTTGCAACCTCCAAAAGAGAGGAGGGAGACATCTGGTCTTCTGAAAAGCAAAAATGAGAGAAGCGTTGAAAGAATGCAACAGGAAACATTGGGCAAATGCATATTTAAGAGGAGAGGCTGAACTCTGAAGGGTATTTCCATGGTACTGTAATAAAATGGGTGAGGGCTTTGTTACAGGAAGAGAGGAATGATTCCACCTTTCTTTGGATTCAGCCAGTGGAAACCTTTTGGTGTATCTCACTTGGATTTTATGTGAACTCCACACCACTGTGCTACTGCACACCCGCTTGAGGGGAAAACTTGATATGAGCAGGAAATTGAAGCAAGCCTGCCTCATTTCATTGTTCTTTCAGCACAGAAATGACAAATATCAAGCCAGAGCACAAGAAAATTGCTTTTAACAGAAGTTGTCCTAAAAGGTCTAAGCAGGCTGGTCGTTCAGGGTATTTCTATAAACAGAGTTTGGGATTTTATATCTCTATGATGCCAGTCCAAGGAATAGCCTGCTGTTGTGCCAATGTGGCTACCAAAGCAGCAGGCAGCTGCAGCAGTGGTGTACATGTGGAAATGTACATTGTCTGCAGGTTCCTGTTTGCATTTAGAAAAGTTGAAAGGCTGTGTACTAGAGCCCCTGTCGAGGTGCCACACGGATGTGTGGGTGTGCTCAAGGATTTGTTCTAGCACAGATCACTCTGGACACTTGCAATGTGCTGCCAGTAAGTGTCATTGCATAGGCAGCCAGGTTAGGGTTACTGCCTTAACGTCTGATCTTGGGTTTTAAATAGCGATTTCTTGTTTTGAAAGTGCTTGCAAATATGTGTCAACTGACCACCTTTTAGGAAATACCTATAGCCATTTCAGAAGTAATTTTAAACTTTGTGTTTCTTTTACTTGCAGGTGCACACAACAAGATCTGCACTTCACTGAGAGCTAGAATGACTTTTCTTGACCCAGAACCACATACAAAGAACAAAACTTGCCCAGAATTTGTTGTTGACCTAAATGAACTCGTGACAGACTTCAGGGCAGAATGAGCAAAATGGGGAACATTTTGCACAATGCAGGAGTTCCCCCTGTGAGGGTGAGACCGTGTTGATTTCATCAGGTTCTGACTCTTCAAAAATCATTCATTTACTGCTTGAGAAACTCAGCAAAGCAGGAGTTTTTTCTCCACTTGAGAAATCCCTCAAGACACTTGCCTAACACAGAAGACAACATGGATGCTAAAAATGTAGTTAAATCCCAGGCAACCTTTTCCTGCCTGAAGGATTTGTTAGAGGATGGTGATGACCTGCTTCATTTAAACGGTGTGGTTGATGTCACTGCTGGAAGAGCAGAGGAATACTGCAGCAGACAGGTGCCTTCCCACTCCACAGATGTAACCACTTGTCACACAGGCAACTGTTGCCTTAACACAAAAGACTCTGGATCTCCTCAGTCTCTGGCAGATGTCCAGGCATGTAAAAGGCCTGGGCTGGGCAGACCTCTAAGCAGGAATTCCCTGCTGGGTGAGCAGGCAGACACTTCCCTAGGTAATCTCACTGATTTTGGAAAAGATGATTCTGAAAATTCTGCTGCTGTTCTGGAGATTTATGCAGAGAAAGTAACAAATGTAAATGATGACTTTTCTGATGATGACCTGGAGTACTTTGAATGTTCAGATGTGCTTACAGTACATGAAGATGAAATCTGGAAAAAGAAATTAGAATTTTTATTAGAAAGTGATGATGAAGATGATCTAAAACTGGGTAAGGATTGTGATGGGTGTGCTTACTTCCTCAGTGAAATGCCTTGTGTGTTCCAAGTGTCAGATAACACTACGCCTATGGATACCCCCATTGGCTTCTGTGAGCATCAGTCAAAAACCAAAGGAGTAAACGTAAGGAGAGACCCCTCTATGTACAGCCAGTCAGCTTTGCAGACAGAGATGACTCTCACTGTTGGACACCACCGAGATAAAAGTGCCATTTTGAAAGACAAAGAGAAGAATCAAGTGCCTGTTTCTTCTGCAGCCACTGGAAATGAACATCCCAGAAGTGAAGAAGAGACTAATGGAAGTGGCCATTTGGCTGCAGGTTCCTCAAGGGATGAACCAAAGCCCACGGACACTGTCCCTGCCCAGGTAGATTCCTCTGCCAATGGCATAGGTGCTGCTTGCACAGCTCAGGCTTCGGGGACAATGACAGAAACCAGCCCCGACGGGGACATGCTGGGGGAAAGCTCGCTGCTGCTGGAGGAGGGGAGAAGGAATGTGCCAGAGGGAAATGCACAGCACGCTGTCTGTACCTTAACAGAAAGTCTGAGGAGAAACCTTTTGAAGCTGTTGAACCCTATAGAACTTTGCAGATATGTAAGTACTATAGGACAGTCTTTCCAGGCTGCAGCAGCAGGCAGGGAATCCAGAGCTCCGTCTCCCAGCCAGGAAGGTATCTGTTCAGCACAGATTCCCGAAGAGGCAGAAAGTGTGCAAATGCAGGCTGGTCTGTGTCGGACAGAAGAGGCAGATAAGGACAGTCACTGGGAAAGGAAAAGGACTTGGGGGCTGTCTGAGCAAAAGCAGATGCCAGATGAGAACATCTTGTTTGGGGTAAGTAACATGTTTGTCATTTAACACAAAGAGCTGCTCTGCTGAAGTCAATGCGATTTGTTCCTGCTTGTCACAAAATAATGTAAAATCAAAATTACTTTGAAAGATACTATTCATGTACTTCTGAATGACAGCTACGGCTGGGAGGGAAATCTGGGTTTAGAAAAGGCCCAAGTAAAGCCTAAGCTGTTCTAATTATAGAGTGAGTCTGATAATGGTGAGAGGCACTAATGGGCCTCTGGACAGCTGGATAGGGAAATCTGATATGGAGGGTATTGCACAGGTCTTAGCGAAGTAATGCTTCTTTCAACCCAGAAAGTTTCTCAAATACCTGTTGGTATTTGAGCAGAGAATGCTTTGATTTACTTTTTTTTCAATCTATATGCAACACACAAAACCGTCCTCCACTTATGGTGCTGGAAACCTAAATCAAATCAGCAGGGGTTTGCTCTGGTTTTGTAACAATGAAGGGAATTCAGTGCAGAGAGTTCATGTTACAGAGGTGAATGGAGCTCTGTGATTTTTAAAAATAAAACAATGAAAGAGTTGGATATTATGGCTGAAACATACAAACCAATTAAAAGTTCAAACCCCTGTGGTACTCTCCAAGTACTTGCATATTTTATGCTGTTGGTAGAAAATGAGCTGGAGGAATCACTACAGTTGTAGAGACTGGTATGATGCTCTACCAGTTTTCCTAAGTAGGAAAATTGAATCATCATTTTTATTTCACATTGTAAAGACTCAAGATATATAAATACTATTAAATCATGAATAATGTTATTGTCACCAATTTTTCTGGTTTGAAGGTGTGTAGCTAATTGCATAGGAAAAAACCCAATTTGTCACAAAAAAGTTTTTTCCAGTTGCACATGCTTTTCTTTTGATCATCTGGGCAAAAGTATCTCCCAGTTCTGGGTGTAGTGTCACAGTAGAGTGACTTTAATCTCACCACTGGGGTATCTTCAGCAGTCAGAAATCACTGAATTATTTTTCCTGTAAAATGCTGATAGGTTTCTCTGGTTTTATGGTACATAAAATTCCAATCCCATCTGAGGAGCACATGATGTCCTTATGATGGGGAATACCCCTCACTGGAATTAACCTCCCCAGAGCTTCCTGACAGGGTGCATGGCCGTGGTTTGCCAGAGGCTTTGTTTGCTTTTTTTCCCCCAAGTCCAGTGCAATAATTTAAATCCCAGAAGCCTCTTAGCCAAGAGCAGCTGTCAGGTGCCTGGCATAAATTTCAGAGCAGCCACTTAGACTCTTGTTGTGCGTAGTCAGTATGTCTGCATTTCCATGGCCAAAACTTTTCATTGGATAAAAAATGAGTATTGGTGTACACAGAAGGACGAGAGCTGGGCACACACCAACCCCCCATTTTTAAACATGTGTGTATGACAGTGAAATTCAGGTGTAGGTTCAAAATTAAGTGGCCTTGAAAATGAGCCAAGCAAAGCATCCCACCTGAATACTGCTCCTTTTTTGGAGTACTAGAAAAATGTGGACAGTTTCTCACAGCGCCCATATAGTAAGCCAGAAACACCTCAGAAATCTGCCTGTGTAATCTTAGAGAGGTAAGAACGAATCTATTGCTGCACACGGGTTTCTGTAAAAGTTCCCTGGGGCGTTTGCTGGAGCCCAGAGCGAGACAGCTCTGCGGGAGCAAGGGGAGGGGCTCGCAGCAAACCCCACTGCTGACTGCTTTGGAAGGGCGTGCTATTTTCCCTGTCCATGTGGGAATCAGGTCTGCTCAGGGGTACAGAGCAGCCACGGGATCACAGCACTAATGACCCAAGGATTTACACTTCCCCTTGGCGCCAAGCGTTCGAACTGGAACAACCTTTGCAGAGTGTCTTGTGCAGCACCTGCTGTGCTGAGTGACTTCTCCTTCCATTAGATAGATAAGGTGGGAGGCTCCTCACTCCTTTCACGACCTCATGGCCTAGCCCCAGCTGAAATTCTTTATTTACCTGGTGCTTCAGAGCAGCTTCATTAATAATAGGTCCAAGACACAAGCGGTGCCAGCTGTGTGATGTTACATAGTGTACAGAGAGCCAGGAGGCTTTGCTGGGTGTCACTGGGAATCAAGTTCTGTTAGCAGTCAGGCAGCACCCTGTCCCTGTCAGTGTCCAGCGCCCTGTTCCTGTCAGTGTCCAGCGTTCAGCCAGAACCCTGTTCCTGTCACAGTTCAGTGGTCAGCACCCTTGGGTCCCTGTCAGTGGTCAATGTTCAGCACTCTTAGCACAAGGTGCTGCTGTCACTCCTGGGTTACAGAGCCATTATTCTATTTTTTTCCATATCAGAACAGCCTGTTCACATAAAATCTGAGAGATCCTTGGTTTGACCTTCCCAAGACAAACTTCTGTCACTTTTAGATCATTTTGAATTTTGTTATCCAAAAAGGAGAGAAGCAGAACTGACACAACAGAAGTTCCAGGTAATTGGGCATCTGGCTGAGATGAGAGCTCGGCGTTGCAAGGGAAGGGTCCAGGCCTGAGCTGTGCCAGAGGGGCTGTAGCTCTGTGTCACAGCAAGCAGGGGAGTCCTGCGTGGAGTGACTGCAGCTCATGACACCAGCCCTGCTCGTTCAGTAGGATCTACCCTAGGAATGGCAGTTAACATCCCATTTTGTTGCCCATGTCTTAAGCTGGCTCCAGTCTTTCCTGGGAGACACACCGAGAAAAAAATCCCTTAGAAAATCCGTACTGCATTGGAGCATGGACTCCTGACAGCTGTGCATGATTAGCCTGTTGCTCTATGTTGTTGCCAGAGAACTCACTTTCTGTCCTTTAAAATATTATAGTTCTTCCTCTTTTTCTGCCTTTTGAGCAGGAATAGCAGGATGCTGGCAGGATGTGCCTGTCAGTCTGCAGGACAAAGCACAGCTCAGGTATTTTGTTTCACCTGTCTAAAGCAGTTGAAATAGTTACAGATATTGAGGTATTTCAGCTACTCCAGGGCAAAAAATCTATCTAAAAGAGAGTGTCATTTTAGGAAAGGGGAATTTGAGTTGCATTGCATGAAACAGGGAAGTGGCAAGATCCATTAAGGTGGATTACTGGAGAACAATGTAAAGTAAAAGGAGTCCCAAATGTAGTGGATTTGAGGGAGCTGAGACCCAGAGACAGTGATGTAATTTTAGTCTGTATTCTAGGGATTGTTTGTTACACTCCATTTGTGCAAACAGAGGGATATGAATGTAACATGGGGACTTTACTTGCAAAGGAGAATTACCTTGCAAAACTATTTCTGCTTAAAAAACAGTGAGAAACTGTGAGGTAAAATTGATTAGCTTCATTACAAATCCTTCTCTAAGGAGCAACACTTTCAGACTCAGACCCAGGAGGTTGATTTCAATCCATTATGTTGACAGTTACAAGTCAGAAGCTTGACTATTGACAAATATATTTAAAAAAAAAGTTAAAAAAAATGCAAGCCTTCAGGCCTGTGTCAAGCTGTAATTCTAATTTTTAATTACATTGCTCTATTTTCCTTCTTTGAAGAGTCAAGGTGCTAATCATAAAAGCATTACCCAGAATTGTGAGAACCTCTGTATGGAGCCCAGAACAGAAAAGGAAGGCATCTTCAGGACTTGTGAGAGTGCAGGAACCAGCCAGCTCTCTGCTGAAAACATGCTGCAAGTAAAGAATGCAGATTTACAGACCTCTTCTCTTCACTGTGCTCCTTGTGAAAAGAGAGAAGGTTGTCACCAACAGGTCTTCTCTGGACAACAAATTATTAGGAGTGGCAAAAAGTCAGAGAATAACATTTCCCCTTCTCCTCGATGGGATATGGACTCTCTTCCTGATAAACAGGAATGCTTGTGTGCTGTTCTCTCTTCTGCAAAGCTGTGTGATGAGCCAGGGGAGGGAGAGCAGAGGCCTGGGCTTGACATACATGATAGCAGTAACCCAGATATTCTCTGCAGCCGATCAGCCGATGAGGCTGTGTCTGAAGCTAATCCCAAGTCAGTTCTGGAATCTGGAGAACCTGAGTGCCAAGGAGATGCTGATGTATCTGCAGTGCATGACAAGCTGTGGAAACTTCTTCATGAAGATGACTCAGACTATCAAATCCCATTTGAAAACAGAGGCGTCCCAAGTTTAGGTACGAGGCTGACAGATATCCAAGTCACAGAACTGAACTTTGTGCGGGAGACCTGTTCCGATCAGCCTTTGCCAATGGATTTGATAGAAGAGCAGGAGCCCATCACAGAACCAGCTCATAACCCCAGAACTGAGAAAGCTGCCTGCAATGTTTCTGATATCCTCCTGCAGAGAGCTGCAGCATGTGAGAGTGCATCCATAGGAAACATTTGTCTTGCACAAGTGGTAGGAACAGATGGTGTCTGTCTAAATTCTGGCACTGGGAATGAGAGGGAAACACCATCCATTTGTGTTTCAGCAAGCAGTGTCCTACTAAGTACCCAGGAGTGCTTAGAGCCAAATCCAATGGCCACGGACAGGAATGGATCCACTGCAGCTTGGGAAGGGAAGCTTGCTGTTAATAATGCTGCCCAAACCTGTGAAGCAGATTCTCCTCAAAGGTTACAAAATACTCAGAGTTGTAATTTAGCATGTCCCAAAGCTGACATATCAGATATGTCACATGGGACAGCTGGACAGTTACTTCACACTGAATACAACATAGCCATGACAAATGAGTCTGTACCTGGAGAAGGCTGTCATTTTATGGACTCCTATCCAGTGAGAGGAGAACTGCCTTATTTCCTTGAAGAGGAAGACATTTTCCCCTGTGAAAATACCAGCCAGTTTATACATGCAGAACACTCTTCTGTTAACACCATACATAAAAGTTGTGTAGTGAATTTACAAGAAAAAGGAAATCACTCAGGCTTGAGTGCACCAAATTTCACTAATTCTGACAGCTACCATCTCTCAAAAAATAATGGCTGTCAGGATTTTCAAGTTGTTTCTAATGCACAGAAATACAGTGATGTAATGCAATCACCTAGTTTAATTCAGATTCACGAAAACATAAGAACACATAAGAATCTACCCCAAAATACGGACCAACTGACAGAAACAGCAAAACAAGAAGGAGCAGTCCCTCCCCCTTCTGGGGAGCCATTTTTAAGAGATTTTTATGTAGAAGTGCCCAGCTGTGAACCATGTAAACCAGGAGGAGAACAGAGAGAGATTTGCATACCTGAGGAACACAGGGCTGAAGCTTCCTGTGACTCAGGAGTTAGTCAGGTTTCAGAGAGTCAGACTGCAGCTTCCCTTTGTAATACAGCAGAACAGCATTCATTTTTTGTTGACAGCACCTTCAGGTCTGATGAAGGGTTAAAAATAGATTCTTCAAAAAATCCCACCTATGCAGCTGGAAGTGTAACATCAGTCAGTGCTCCACTGCCCAGGGAGGCTCAAAGTGAGCACCACAGCACAGCAAGTGGGGAGGATAGAGGTTCCCAGGATTGGCTACACTCCCAACAACTGCTTGGAAACAAAACCCTGCCCTTCCCCACATCTGTAAGCCACTCAGAGGGCCTTCCCAGTGAATCTGCAGTGGCGTGTCCTGCCACAAGAAATGAGGGAAAAACTGGATCCATACAAACTGGAGTCAAAGTAAATGGAAATTTAACTACATTGGAAATTTCCTGCAAGTCATGGAAGGGTCTGTCCCAGAGGGTCCCTGGAGAAACCAAAGGAGAAGCAGCCTTGTGTGAAAATGAACGTGAGATTCCAAGAGCTATTGAATATAACCCAGATGAAGCTGAAGCAAAGGCTCCTTTGCACACTTTGACTGGCTCCCAGGCTCTGGAACAGATTATGAATACTAGCACAGAGCAGTCTTGTCCTGACTTGATCCCTTCCAGCAAGATAGCTGAGGCTGAGAATTCAATTAAGTCCACTGAGTATGATAAAAAGGAGGAAGTCAGGACAGCAGAGAGTGTAGTAAGTGGTTTGGTTAATTTGCCATCAGTTGATTCAGGGAACAACCAGTGTTTTCAAGAGCAACCACCCCACAGAAGAACTTCATCATTCTCTTTGGTGTGGACCACACTCGATCCATTCCCAGTCAACACAGAAAGCCAAAGAAATCAGGAAGGGTCAAAATCCTGCCAGATACCAGTGGCTGCTGCAGAACCTGAGCCCATCAGATGTAGAGAGGACACAACAAAGAGCGGCTATGTAGCTGCTGGAGCTAAGAAGAAATTACCACCAGCAACTCTGTCCAAAAAACCCAGGCTGGAGGAGAGGGGAAGTGTCAGCAAGGATACCAGCTGTGTTAAAAAGTCTGGGAAGAGCGAGGGAGGCGTGATTCATAAAGAGGATAGAAAAGAACAAAGGAAACTCATTTTGAAAAAGGATAGCAAAGGTAAGAGAAAATGGATTTTCTTTTCTGTCCTTTCCCATCATTGTGGCTACAGTACAAAATTAAGATTATTGAAAGGCACTGCAAGCCTCTTTCAGACTGACTCAGTCAGCTAAAGGTGTCCTGCCCTCATGGAGCTTTATTTCCAGATTTGTGCACTCAGTAATAAGTGCTATGCCCATGCCACAGAGATGAACCCTTTTCCCAGCTGGCAAGTATATTCAATTCATGAGCTTTATAACCCATTTGAAATAATCACTGCCTCATTGGCCTCTTGGAGTCATTTTTCACAGATGAACAGCATAATGGCACCACATAACTATACACCACGTAGCAGCTGCAAGCCCGCTGCTTGTTCTGTTCCTGCAGGGCTGTGTTCCCACTTATGCTCCTGCATTGCAGCTCCCAGCTGCAATTCTCCCCTCTTGGTTACCAAAGGATTTATTACTAGCAAAGTATTGTTGTTAGCAGCAGCATACCACTGATAAACAATGTTTTGAGGTCCTATGTGCTGACTTCTGACTGGTTCTGCATGGCTTTGCCCTGCTGCAAAAATGACACGGATGAAATGAGCAATATTAAAATGATGTAGGAAATGTATAACTGAAAGGAGATCCGGGTTGCTGTCAGAGTCTCTAGAAGGTTCCTAACACTGCAGCAGGATTGTGACTGCCGGGCAGATGAGGGATTTGTTCTTTCTATGGGTAGTTTGCAAGGACCAAGGTCTTATTTTTACCTTTTGACGTGACATTTCATGTTTACATCATAAAATTATTTAATAGTTCAGAGCAAGACTGAACAGTGACTAAAGGTAAGCTACACATTTGTGGAGCTTTTCACACACTCTAATTACTGTGTGGTCTCGTGAGACTTCTACTTTTTCTAATCACATTTAAAAAACCCCAGACTTGTCTCTGTTCAAAGATGCATCCTTTGCCAGGGAACCAGATGTGTGGGAGGAGAGACATATTCCTTCAAAGCAGAACAAGCAAACTGCAGTGACTGTGCAATGCCTGACCTGTTTCCATTACTTGAGGCTACACTTGCAAAATGTTCTGAACATTCAGGCTGCATCAGATAACACTGAATTTTCTTCACCTGTTTCTGCTCTGCCTCAGTCTCAACTGAAGTATGTCTGTGCTCTAGAGCACAGTTGTGGCCCTTTCCCTGGCATTATGGGAAGGCCGATTTGGTTGCTGTGGAATATACTCTGTGTTCTTTTGCATTATTTCAGCTGCAGGAGAGAAGGCTGGCCAGGGCAGTAACCTGGAGCCACTAGTGCTATTTCTAGAGCTGTCAGGTCCTGTCTGTGTCACTTTAGCCCTGATACAGCAAGGTTTACATGCCCCAGGACTCAGGGACTGCTAGTCCAGTGGGGAGACCTGGACTGGATGGGGCCTGGAACTGGGAATGGGGAAAACCATGGCAGTGTGCCTGACCCTGTAAGTGGGTGTTACTGGAGAAACACCAGTACACAGTGATCTGCAGGAATGGGATCCCCGAGGGACACATGCCATGCTACCTCGTTCAGAGTGCAACAGCTCAGAATTAACACAGATGGAAACATCTGGCATTTTACATCCTTACATCGAGCAGGGATGTGTCACTTGGGGTGGGGCTGTGTTGTGATCCCAAAACCTTTCTCTAAGTATATGTCGATTCCCTTTCTTTCCAAGTCCCCTCCAGCCCCCTGCCCACACCATGCCCATGTGCAAAGTGTCTGGAGGGTTCTGTGAGGCAGGGAAAAGTCCTAGCAGAGATCCAGGCTAGGTAGGGCCTTTTGGGACTTTTTTCCAGGCTGTGATCAGCTAAAAAATTCTACTAGTTATTAGTATTGAGACACAAGAAGTCATAATTACTTGTCAGGGATTTCAGCATTTGTGTTCTTAACGTGCAATGTTAAAATGCCAAAACAATGTAATTGTCTTCAAATCCTAAACTGTTGTTCTTCTGTTTCAAGCCCCCAGGCTGCTGAAGAAGATCCAAGCAGAGCTATTCCCCGACTGCTCTGGAAGCATTAAGCTGTGCTGTCAGTTTGGTGACATTCATGGTGACTCCACCATTACATGGACTAAAGATTCCAAGGTACTGGCTCAGCTGCAGAGAAGGTAAGGGAATGTTTCTGAAGGACTGGGAGTTTCGGGGTAACTTTGCTATTCGTAGGAGGCAGATCTTCTCACAATGCATTGATATTGGTCACAGTTTGTGTTATATCACCTCTCAGCTTGTTCACAGCCAGATTTCAAAAAAATATCAAAGACATTTAACTGAGAGAAAGGTGGAAATAAAAGCTTCTTAAGGGCATTAACAGCATTTACCCTTTCCATTTTAATGAAATTAGTTATTTTCCTTGTAGCGGTAATGACATTCTAATCTAAAAAACTGTTTAGAATGTTTCAAAAATACAAAATTAACATTACAGAAAAAAAAAAAGAAAGAAAATACATTTCCATCAAAATGCACACTTCTGAGGAGATTAAAAATTTTGTAGGAAGGATTCTTCTTAGATGTTCTTTTAAGTGGAGAGAAAAAGTTGCATGAATTGGTTAAACTTTCTATTCTGATTCTTCTTGTTTTAACTTTTCTGATTTTGATTGTTGTATTGCAATACCAATTGTAGTATTAATACATGTCATTATCTGCTAAATAATTGTGCTGTGTTTTAACAAGTAAACAGTGCAGAGAGATCAAATTTATCAAGAAAGTAAGATATGTGATAGCACAAAATGCTCTGTTCCAGTGCCCAGGATGTCTCTCCCGTCTCTCTGGAAATAGCTGAAGCCAGTTACCAAGACCAGGGAATGTATTATTGCTGCTTGAATAACATGTATGGAAAGGTGACTGCTGAGTTTCATCTGACTGCTGCAGGTAAGCCCCAGTTTAGAGTTTTGATTAATAATAATGACAATGACAGTTTCCATTCAGAGTTTTTTACTACAATTTTTTTTTTATTTCCTCCTAGTATTGGAACGTCTTTCAAGTTTTCAGAGTTATGAAGGTAAATATAAAGTGAAGTAGCATTGCATGGCTTCATACAGAGACAGACAGACAGACAGACAGACACACCCACACCCACACCCACACACACTGGCAGCTCTTTGGCACAAACGCATGGTTCTTGCAGGTCACCTGCTGTGTAACTGTACTCCAGGAGAAAGGCAGGCATGGAGCTTTGGAATGCTTTCCCTATGTGTTAACTGGTGTTCAGTGACACCCAGCATGTGTCCTGTGCTGCAGCTAAAGATAGTGCCTTGCCAGTGGGGTTGTCATTCCTGAACAGCCTGCAGAGGTCCAGGCCTTCAGCTGGCATGCTGACTATTCTTTCTTTTCCTTGAAGAATTAAAATGAAGCATTTATTTCCTTGTGCAAAATAAAGACAGGACTTTTCGTGTAGCAGCACTGTATAACTTTTAATCAGAGAATTTTAGGTGGAATTAAGGAGTGTTCTAATTCTGGCCTTATCTGTGCAGTGTTTCCTCTGTGCTTTGAAGAGAGGCAATAGTGTACAGAGGCTAAACCAGAGGTAACTGCAAGGGACAGCTGGAAGGACTTCTTTGTTGTGTAGCTCTGTTCTCCTATTTATCTTCTTTACTGATGGTCCTTGAAATGTTATTATTAGAGACACTTGAAGTGCAGTTAGAATTTTTTGGTTTCTCTCAGTGCTTAACTGTTTTCCCCCTTATGAATTTTTTTTGCATTTGGATTCCAAAGATCATTTAAAGGGGTGAAATCCAGAGTCTTCCTTGATTTCATCTGCAACAGACTTGTTTGCTACACTGTCTTCTCTCCTTATGATCCTGAGCTGCCACCTTTCTCCATGCTGGCTTTAGGTCATACAAGGAGCTGCCTTTTAGGAGCTGCTTGAGATCCCAGCCCTCAGTGACACAATTTGTGCTTCCACTGAGCATTTTTTCCTCCTTTCTGGAGAGATGCATCTGCTGTCCCATGCATGCCACCCCTCCATGTGCCTGCAGAGATTCCCGTTGTGTTTTAGGCGTGGAAGAAATCGAGTTCATGCAGCTGATGTTCAGAGAAGACCCCCTGAGCTCCAGCTACTTTGGTGGGACGCTGCATGGAGCGATAATGACAGAGGGGCTGCACTTTGGCGAGGGGATGCACCGCAGAGCCTTCCGCAGCCGCGTGCTGCAGGGCCTGGCGCCCGCCTTCGCGCCCGGCCACCCCTGCGTGCTCAAGGTGCACAGCGCCCTCGCCTACGGCACCAAGAGCAGGGACGAGCTGCTGCAGAAGAACTACAGTCTGGCACTGCAGGTGAGCTGCCCCCGGCCTTTGTAACCCAGACTTGTGGGCCAAAGCTGTCCTCAAATTCAAACAGATGATCCGCTGAATGTTCTGAGCAATATTCCCATGGGCGTGTCTGTTGTAATACAGGAATGCTATGTCCAAAATACTGCAAGAGAGTATGCAAAGTTATATGCAGCTGAAGCTGAACCCTTGGAAGGCTTTGGAGAAGTACCAGAGTGAGTATAAATATATATTTTCTATACATATATGCTTACGTATACTGTCCTGTGCCATGGCAAGCACCGATTGCTAGGACTAAAGCGGAAAGAGGAAACCTGGGAACAGTGTTACAGCTCTTCCAGCTTGGTTTAGAGTTGGTAGCTGTTCATTCTGAGATCACTGACCACTTTTGTCTGTTTCTTACCCTCTTACTGAAAGAATTCTCAGGATTTTATGTTTCTATCCCTTGATTTCAGAATCATTCAGATTTTTCTTATTCATCGCCCTGCTAATAACATCCCCTATGCCACAGTGGAGGAGGAGCTGGTTGGGGAGTTTGTGAAATACTCTGTCAAGGATGGCAAGGAAGTGAATTTCCTGAGAAGAGACTCAGAGGCTGGCCAGAAGTGTTGCACCTTTCAGCACTGGGTGTATGAGAAGACCAATGGGAACTTGCTTGTCACTGACCTGCAAGGTGAGTTGTCTGAGTAGGGGCAATTTTTATCTAGCTTATGTTCTTGTAAGAGGGCAGTTTGGAAAAGAAAACTAAATCACACTCTTAATGGAGGAGTTGTTCTTTCACATGTACCTTAGTGAATCAGGACACTCAGTATGAGCCAAATCTGCCTTTTTCATTCAGCACCCCGAGATTCATGAAATAGCTGCTGAGTGAAAGACTTCAGGTGTTAATGACACCCTAGTCCTTCCTCCTTGCTTGTATTTGAATACTCACCAACAGTCACTCAACAGTGGAATGCTCCTGGGGTGGGGTCCTGGCTAGTTTTGAGAAATATATTCCTTAAGAAAGAAGAATAGTGAAGAAACACCCTCGTGTTTGCTAAGTGCTACCTCAGCTCCCATGGGTGTGACTCCTCTTCAGTCCTGCAATGTATTTGGAACAGGGGAAGAGAGACCCTTCTTGAAGAAAAACAGAAAAAGCTGGAATCTTAGGAAATATCCTATATTCTTTTATATGTGAAGGCAGGAAAAATAACAAAAAGGCACCTAAACAAGATCCCTGAAGTAATTTAAAGGGAGGAGAAAGAACAAAATCCTAGCACAGGAAACAAGCTGTGCTGTTGATCTCCCTGACAGCTGTAAAATAGTGGCATGAGCCTGACTTCTAGAAACTGCTGGTGACACAGAGAACATCCTCTTCTTAACTGGGGTACTTGAAAATGCTTTGAAAAAAATGTGACAAATAATTAAAGCGAAAAAGGTGACTCAATAAATAATATTCAATGCCTCCATATGTGAATATTGTCCTAGAAATTCCAGTGCAAGCTAAGCTCTGTGTTTTCCTTGCTGCCTTGCAGGTGTAGGGATGAAGTTAACGGATGTTGGCATAGCAACCCTGGCCAAAGGGTGAGTGAACGTGATTTCTCAGCAGCATGGTTGTGCTTTACTGCTCTGTCTCTTCACAGTTAAATGTGGATGGGGGAGGGTGCACTGGAAATTCATTCTTGCTTTAACTTTAGAAGAAAACAGTCCTTATCTAAGTGTTTTAACTTCTTCGTGTTCATATTTATGGAAACCTGCCTGTAGAGGAAACGCTTTTATTTTGTTATGAAAGAATGGGGCTACCCTGTACATTGAGCTTTGTTTTTCATGCATGCCTCCCTTGAAACGGGCTTGTCCAAAGGGCATTTCACAAGTGACATGAAGGGTTCTGGTGACAGCAGGTAAGGCTCCTCCATCAGCTGGAGGAAGGTAGGGCTGAACACACTGGCTGCAGTCCGGGGTAAAGGCAACCCGGAATCCCTCCTGCAGCCAGCAGAAGTGCCAGAGCTTTGGGATAAGTATTTGTGACACAAGCTTTTATAAAGACACTTCTCAGTGGGATGCTGTGTATTGGCCACTTCCCTGATAAACAAGGACAATTGTAAAGGGATTTGATGGTATCTCTCCCCTTTCTCTCTCAAAAACAGCAGTTCTGAGCCGTAACAAAAGATTATTCAGGGCATTGCTAGAGCTTGTTTTCTAGTGCTGTTGCAAAGGCTTCAGCTCTTTTAGGGAAAGTTAAGCATACGTGTAAAGATGTAGGCCTGTCATATTCTAACTTTAGTCCACTTCTCTTAAGTTAATTAAGGCTTTTAGGTATAACATGGGCCAGCAGAGTTTTGGATAGGAATAGGCAGTGGCTGCTGGACAAGGAAAGGGGATGGAGGTAAGTGCTTTAATTTCATATTCTGCTTTGAGAATTTGGCAGGAGAAAGAAGATCTGGTCATGTGTTCAGCCTTTATTCTAAATGGGACCATGTCTGTATACCTCAGATACAAGAAGAAACTTCACAATGTCATCTAAATTATTAAAAACATGACTCTAGAATATTCTGGGAGAATCTTGAACATTTGCAGGCTGGCATCCATTCAGTTAGACTGATTTACTGATTTACTCTTGCAGCTGTGGATCCAAAGTAAAGCAGTTGAAATGAATGTACATCATCCTGTTACAAACCAAAAAAGTAATAGATGTTTTATTTAGGCAACACTGTTCTCAGGAATCAGAAGATTTATAAAAATGCTTCCGTGAATGTTGTCCAGCTCACTGTGGGAAATGATTTCTATAAAAACACACATTGTTTTGGGGAGGAGGAAGTGAGCACACAATGCAAGCTATAGTAAGGATCAGCTCAGGCATATAGAAAGGAAAATAATTTCCCTAAATGAACAACCTCCTGAAAATGTTGAATATCATTTTGTTAGGTATTTAACTAATGGTATTCCTGCAAGATGACAGATTTTTCCTGGTCCTGTATTTTGTTTTCATGCTCCTTTCCTAGAAAGAAGATCTCTGTATTAATGTCTGCAGTTGGATTTTTAATTCTGTGAACATGGGTGGAGAAAATCAACTCAGTGCCCAGAACTCCTGCGTGTTGCTGGGTCTTGCTGCTTTGGGCTGTGCTCAGCCGAGCTGCTGAGAGCTAACCTGGTCCCATGAAGGGAGAGCACATGGTTCTAGTGAGCCAGAAATGCAGAGTGGGACTGGTGTGGCTCGAGCTGTGCTGGCAGAAGGGACACAGAACGTATCTCTTCTGTACTCCAAAGCAGCCCGCGATGCGTGGAGGAAGGAATTTGGATCTTTTGTCCTTGCTCTGTGTGTTTTGCCAGGGAACTGGAAAGCAGAGGAGCCCAAAGCAGTGGTGTGGTGAATGTGCTGCAGGAGCTGCACTGCAGTTCTGTCAGGAGAGGGCGAAGTGGATCTAGAAAGAGGAATGCCAGGGAAGCATTTTTAATGCGGCCACAGTGCTGCTCCTGAGCCTTTAAATCAGCTACTCTGTAGCTTCTGTGGCGAATGGAAATACACAGCACAGTGCCTGACTCTGTGCACGCAGTGTGCATGAGGGCCCAGGGATTTGTCCAGGAAGGGCACACAAAGGAGGGAATGAGGAGCACGGTAACCCACAGTTATGGTCATTAACTGGAGTGCTGGTTGCCAAGTCTGGATCTGAAACTCTGCCTGGTTCCAGGGCACTGACAAGTTTAGCTTTACTCCACATGGTAACAAGAGGCATTGGGGAGTTTAAGCCTGAGAGCAAATCCAACATTTCCCCTTCAGATTTAAGGCAGATTTGGTTTGGTTTGGTGCTGGATGGAAGAAATTCCCTTGCTGAGGGCAGGTGTGTTTGCCTGTGGAATTCCTGTTCTGTGGGTATGTCTGGTGCATCCACCAACACAATACATGTGAGCTCTTGAGAGCAGCTCAGTAAAGTCTGAAGTCTCTGATTTCTCCAAGGGAACAAGAGAACCGTTGACCCTGCTGGACTCCAGGATATAGTCTTGGGGTAACAGTGACATGCCTCCTCAACCTGCTTTGGTTGAACAAACACACAGTTTACTTGGAGAGGAGGGGAAAATCCCTTTGAGGTTCACCTGCTGCTCAGAGCCAGCTGAGTAGTGTCTCCAGAGCAGGGTCTGTCTGTCAGCAGGAGCCTGACCTTCTCCGAGCAGCAGTATTCTCTTTAGCACTGCACAGTCTTCCTGAGGAAGACTCCTACTCTGGATGATGGGAATGAGCATTCTCTGTTCATTTCAGAACCAAATCTTGGTTGGTTGGTTTTGTGTAGTCACAACTCACAGTTCACCTCTGAGGACACTGGATGTCCAACAAACCAAGAGAACAGGGTAGAACAGGCACTGATTAAGGTTAAAAAGGGAGAGGCCTGGCCCTGGCCTTTCTTTTCCCTTCTCCATCCTGAGAATTCAACCAAAAAAGGCTCTTTGAAGAGCCGGTGCACCTTTTAAAATAAGCTGATGCAGTTTAAAAAGCAGGCCCTGGGAGGACTGTCAGCATCCAGAGGCACGGTGAGGAGAAGAGGGATACATGTGCCCTGTACTTCTCATGGTGGGAGGTACAGCGGAGGCTGGATGAGACTGCCTTCCTCAGGAACATTCCTTCCATCTTCCCTGGGGGGCTTGGCTCCTTGAGACCCCGTAGGCAGCCAGGGGAGGGGAGCAGCATAGCATGGAAATGATGTACATGTTTAGATGGAAACAGCTTCTAGTTCTGAAACACCTTGTGCAACGACCTTGTTTCTTCATGGTGGCCAACAGAACTGTTCATAGAGAATGGTGCAGCACGGATTTCATGTGTCTGTTACTGAGAAAAGTAGCCAGCAGACAATTTTATTCCCAACCTAATGCCATGAAAGACAGTGCCAGGACCCAGCCCACAGAGTTTTGCCTCTAATGCTTTTCCCTCTTCTATCACCACTTGTTACCTGGTTCCTCTCACCTCCCAATGACCCAGTCTGAGTTTCTGTGGCAGTGGATGCTTCAAGCCAGCATGGGTAGAAGAGACTTGCTTAATGTTTTCAAGTTGCTTATGAGTCAGCAGTCATACTCTGCCTCCCTGTGCTGAAAATGAGTCTTGAATTCCCATTTGGTTTTGTTTTTTTCCCTTTGTTACTACAGATACAAGGGGTTTAAAGGCAACTGCTCCTTTTCCTTCATTGAGCAGTTCAGAGCCCTCCACCAGTGCAATGAGTACTGTGAGATGCTGGGGCTGAAATCTCTCCGAACCACTCATCAAAAACAGAGGAAAGCAGCACCCACTAAAAGCAAAAATCTGCCAAACTCATCAACAGTAAAGAAAATGATGCCCAAGAAGGCAAGAGAACCTAGAGACTTCATTTCTTCAGAACACTGAGTGTCACTATCCCACCTTGTGAAACTACTCTTGAGGACATGGAGCAGTGACACGCACCAGTGACCTGAGGGGATAACTTTAGTCTTGCCTTTTGACATTGCTTTGTAATCATCCTGATGCTGCTGCCAGCAACAAAGGAAGGAGCTGATCCTCTGCTCTTGGTGCCTGAGATACAACACTGGGGCAAGGTTTTGAAAACAAACTAAGCCATCTCCTGGATTTCCTTACAGGCTTCTGTGGACTGGTATTGGAGAAGAAGATCTCTGTGTCTACATCCATGGCCCTGTGGTTCAGCTGCTATGGAAACATCAATATATTTAAGTTTTGCACAGTATTGCATATGCATATGCATGCTGGGTTACTTAGAAGTCAGGGAAGGTGAAGTTTGGAACACACTGATAAATATTAAAGTTACCACTTCCATTGCAAATCAGAGCAAACATCCTTTGAGCCTAAATCTTGGACTATTCAGTGCGATTTAGGCTTCACAGTGCACTGCTGGTACCTGGCTTTTGGAAGTTCCTACAGGTGATGCCTATTCTTTACAACAATGTTCAGAAGAGTTTCTGTGAGGACGTTGTGACTGTTCCCAAAACAGGAGGTTTAGAACATCAGGCAAGGGGCTTGAGCATGGTGGGACGGGAACAAAGCTAAAAGCATTGGATAAATGGTATTTCAAGGCAGAGGCAATAGGTTTTTATCAGAATTTTGGGAAGTGCTCTGTTTGAAAAATGCCATGAGCATCTCAACCAATTAATATTCCAAATGTATGTTGTAGTTTGGTCCCAAAGTCAGAGATGGTGTTTCACTCTATTGGCTAATTACCTTCAGTTTATTGTCCTCGTCAGTTCAATGAAAATCACAAGCTGACCTCTCAGAGGTAAACATAGCCCTGTTAATGCCAAGGAAATCCACATTCCTAATGATGGCAGTGTAGTGGTGATTCCTTAAGATGTCTGATGTGCTTTACAGTGGGGATCTGGAAGTGCATGTGTGAGAGTATGGATTTCTCACATATTCTGGTGCTTTTGCCTCTGAAAGAAGGAGCAGAGTCATCCTGTTGTGCACGTACCACAGTTGTTTATTTCTCAGTACAGTGGGAAGATGTACTGCCAGAGGTCCCAAAGCTTCCTGACCCGATGCCTTGTCTGCCAGGAACTATTTAGTGTGATAATGGCGTTTGATAGACTGGACACAAACACCATTGTCACACTCCACAGCTCTGGGAGCAGGTCCTTAGCCTGTGGAAGGAGTGATGGAGGCACACTGCAGACTTCAGCAGAGGGGCTTTCAAAGACCTGCAAAACAGACACAAGACCAGGTTTGTGCATATTTATATGTGGCACATCAGGGTCCTCACAAGGAGGCAGGACACAGGATCCTGAATTGGTTTGAGGTGGATATTGTGTCTCTGCTAGCTGTGGGAATGTAAAAGCTAAGTGGCTTTGAGTGCCCTTACAGACAAGGGAGATGGACAGCACCGTAGAAAGTAATGTGTACTATTCTAGAGGCAAATTCCTGAGGAGAGGGATGAGTAATTTCTGCAAGGGCCTGTGTCTTCCTCTAAGTGGTAGGGTCAGCTCAGAATCAGCATCAGACTTTTATAGCTATGTCAGACCTGAGGAATCAAAATGCTGGGGATTACATTTGATCTTCATATACTTGTTTTTAGCAGCATTTTTGAGTAGCCCACATATAAGACAGCCAAGTTGGTCTGTAGTCCTGGTCTCACTGCCCCTGTGCTATTCCATAATGTTCTTCTGGGACACATCAGCACCTGTGCATCAGGGAATTAAGCTCTAGGGTCCAGAGCTGTGGTGCTCATCTCTGCACAGGCTGGATGTTTTCAGAGTGTTTCTCTGTGTGTTTGGCCTGCTAGCCAAATAACATTTCACCACACTCTCAGTCTGAGAGTAGAAAACATCCCATAACAGATTATGTGGACTAAGGAGTGGATTAAGAGCACACAAACATGCTGCACAGGGATTTGTAATCCATGGAAGTTCAGTTATATGCCATCATCACATCTGAATACTGCAGAGAGGCAGAGAAAACAGAGAAGGAGGAGCACATGGAAGGGGGGAGGTTAGAAACCAGGGCTGGGGTGAACAGCAGTAACCTTTTTTTTAAGTACTGAAATCTGAACTTTCTGGCTCAAAAGAGAATCCCCTGTGTGCTGGTTAGAAGCCTCTTGGGAGGGGATGCAGTTGTCTTTTTGTGCCAAAAGGTGAGAATGGGTTGTCTTGCTGTAGTGCTTTTCAACTCCCCTCTCACTTATTTTTAAGCTCAGAAATGCATTCCCATTTTACATGCTGTGGAGAATTTGCTCCTCATGTGTAGTAAACCCAGACTCTCCAACAGTCTTCTGAATCTGGTTCTGCATTAGCAATAGAGTATTAAGGAAGTTAAAGCCCTCAAAAGGCTCATCCTCTGAGAACTCCTCCCTGGATTTAGCCTTTTCAGCAATCCTTTTTTGTGAAGGGAGCACAGTGCTCCCAAATCAGCCCACTCAATTCTACAGCGTCAAATGTCGAAGTGCCTGCACAGAGGTGATGCCAAGGCACCCAGACGAGCTGCTGCCCACCTGTACTGACACAACTGAACCACCAGCCTGCTCTTCACAGTGTAACAGGGGTCTCCTCACCCTGTGATCTAACTTTGTATCTTATCTGCATCTTCTTCCCAATTGTAATGTAGTTCAACCAGTGTTGATAGGTCAGGGCAGACATAGTAGGGCTCTGGATCGGTTTAATTCTTCATTTACATCAGGGACCTCAGGGAAGGGTTTGTGATAATTCAGTGCCACAAGCTGTCAGTAGAAGCTGGGTTCTGAGTGCCCTTTGCTGGTGGACAGACCAGCAGATTTCTCTGAAATGGACCTTCAGTGTCTGATTACCAGATCAGGCTGTTTCATTTCTCCAGTGTGATTATTACAACAGTAATATTCTGGCATTCCCATCCCTGCCACAAAAGCAAGCTTAGAAATGCTCGGGCGTGGCTGACATCCAAGGGATTTTCATGTCCCACTGGTTCTGTCTGTGTTTTGAGTCTGTAGTGCTGCAGTGGGACAGAGCTGAGCGTTTGAACACACACACACACACAAAACAGGCAGATGTGCAGATCCACAGGTCAGGCGCCTATGCAGTCCCAGCTATGAAGGAGACATCTCTGAAAGAAGGAGATGAGTGCAGCACACCCTGAGCATCACATGGCATTGAGTCTTTGGAATTAATCATGGCAAAAACCCAGTCATGCCAGAACATTCTGTCAGTAAGGATGCAGCTGTAGCCCTGAGGTCCACGGGGCTGGTGTTGGTAAATGTGCCTATGCTGCAGCTGGTGAGAGTGAGAAATGATTGCCAAAGGGACAGAGCTGCTGTACCTGGCTTTCTAGTTCACCTCAGTGTTGGTGTCTTCCCTTACCTTTCCTCATACACATTTTACTCAGCTTTCTCTCTGCAGCAGAGGGGAAGGATCATGCAAATTCCTACTAATGAAGCTCCCTGAAGAAAAGCTTGGCAATCCTGTGCAGAGCAGGAAAGCCCAGAAATCCTGGCAGAAGGACTCGACTTCACTGCAGAACACGTAAGGAGAAAGCAAGGCAGCTGATGCCACTGCAAACAGGCAATTTTTAGTCTCTCAGCTACATGGAAGCTTCCAGCAAATCAACAGGAATATTTCCAAGACAAAATATCATGCAAGAAAGAGAAATGGCCACTAGTTTTTAGTACTGCAAGGTGGAAAAAAACCCCCGAAATAATGGGAAAGTTACAGGGAGAAAACAAAGTAAACATCAGAGAAAAATCCCCTTTTTGCTTCTCTTCTGCTGGACATTTGTGTAAAGAACATCATTGGGATGTTCCAATGCAGAGGAGCATTGTGAAGAAAAATGGGTTTTCAAGAGTTTTTTGAGATGGGTCACAGAACCTGTCCTTCCCACAAGGCCAGACCTGGAAGCATTCTTGGTGCTCCGGAAAGTCTGTCAGCTTCCCCACCACACCATTTCTTAAAAACAATACACAGGGTGGTTTGCACTACCCTAACAAAAGCGTAATCTCTTTCCAAGTGCAGGTAGAGATCCCTAGGTCCAAGACATTAAATCCTGTTAAATCACACAGTTGAGCCCCGGGTATGTGTGGATATTTTAGTACGCTGAAGTGCTTAGTGTTGGAAATCCACCTGCACTATTTTATTTTTGTTAATCTCTTTTAGCATTTCCTTTTCCTCACTTAAATTTTGCTCAGGAAGGCACTTACCATTGGAGACAACAGCCAAAGGATCCTCTGGTGTGTTGTTAGGGCTTGGCAGAACTGGGATTCTCTCGCAGGACATTTTGCTGACTGTCTGTACTCGAATCTTTGGAGTCCTGGTTTCTTTTCTGAGTTCCCAGCAGTGGGCAGCTGCTGCAAGCCTCTGCTTCCAGTGGACACCTTTCCCTCTCCCTTTATGGGATCCTGAGGTTTTAAAGTAAACAATTCATTCTTGCTCTGATAAGTCATATTAAAATATTGATCTGGGGGAGGGAGATGACCCTTGCTGCTCTGAGCCGGAGTCACCTTTAGTCAGACTAAAGAATGGAAAAAAGCTCTGAGACTTCAATTTTCTCTGTTCCTTCAGAGAACACATGTGGGGAGGGAAAAATGCAAAAGATAAGGGGGTTTCAGCTCTTTGTTTTGCTGAACCCTGAGATGAAGAGTGTTTACTCTGGCTGCGTATTAATTGCTTACTTCTGCCAGTGAGACTGATTTCGTCAGTTCCTCAGTGCTCATCTCATGTTCACTGCTGAGGCTTGCCAATCTTTTTTCTGTCTTAAATTTTGATGTACTGTCTACTTTTCTTGGTAATTTTCAGGTTTTACACCTAGGAGGTAGGGGGAAAAGCCTGGCTTCAGTTGAGCCTGTGTGAACACCACTGGCAAACCCAGGAATGGTACACACCTCCCAGGACCTCATTCAACAACGAGACCATTGCATAAACCTCCAGTTTAGGGCCTGATGAATTTCACTTTTTTTGTGAAGGCTAAAATAGGATTTGAACCTGAGATTTTCTCTGAACATAAAATAAAGCACATTTTGGGTATGAGAACATTTGCTAGTTAACTAACAGGTGCTTCATCACTTACTTTCATTACCATACTTCTGTTCCATTAGAACGTTTTGGAAAAATCTGAAGTAATATTTTGGGGGTTTAAGAAGCAAAGTTTTCAATATAAATACTTCACAAAAGTGAGGAACCAGGTAATTTTACTGAATTTGGCTGGATTTGTCCATCCAGCAGCAGAAAACCACCATGAAATCAAATTTGGAGAACATTCTTGCCCTCTCCTCCTCACACTCTCTTTGTTACCAGTTGATGACACATCTTTTTTTGCTTAACACTGTCTTGGACTGCAAATCTGTCATGGCAAGAATAATCTACTCTTTCCTGAAATGCTGATTTCTAGTCCCAGTCCTGTTATGTAAATAGTAATTCATTGTTTGGGACTGGTACACGCACCCAGTGTAAAGATGACAAAAATACTACTTCTACTAGTTCAGAGTCTGCCCTAGTAGCAGAACAAGGTTTGGGGAAAGTAGGTATGTAAAAATTACCTGTACAATTATATCAGCATCCTGTGTGCAAACTCGTTATGCTACTCTGAAAGTATGGGTGGGCATTTGAAGTCTACAGAAGATATTGGATAATATGTTTAATCAGAAAAAGAGGACAATATTAGGTCAAGAAAACCTCATATTAAAAAAGAAAACAACCAACCCAAAACCAAAATGCCATGTTGTCCAAAACATGTAGTAGAAAAACCCTAAAATGTGCTACTTTTCATCACAGCAGAAACACCACTTACTTGGTATTTGTGGGTTGTGTTTTTGGGGGGAAAAAAACCCCCAGTTTCCCTCAAAATGAGGCTCTGCAGCTGTAGGTGAAGCACTGGTCACTCCATAGGGAGCCTGGGGAAAGTCTGGAACTGCATTGCAACATCCAGTACTGCTGCAGACTGGTTGGGGTCCAGTTCTCTGAAATGAAATGCCAAAGTATTGGGAAATTCCTGGAAAAAGAAAAGGAACTGGTTTGTTTAAATGTTACTAAAGGTGACACAGGGGCAGATAATGCAACATACATTGCAGATAGACGTGAGGGCCAGATTCTTCCCTTGGAAGTATGTTCCTATGACCCCAAGCAAAACTGTCTAACTTTGAAGTGCAGTCTAACTGTGCAGGCTGCCACTGCTCAGAGCAGAGGACTCAGTCCTGTGATCTCCAAAAGTCCCTTCCAGCCTAAATGATTCTGTGCTTCCATTTTATATGCAGAGTTGCTGGTGAGTGAGGTGTCACTAGACAAAGGACACGATTTGATCCCTACAAAAGTTCTTTCCCCTCATTTATCTTTTATATAATGTGAAAGATATGTTGAGGGAAATGGAAGTCACAGGGATGGTATCTTTTCTGTGCAGAAACAGTGGAAGAACAGCTTCAAAACTGAAGGAATAACTGCAGGGGTAAAAACCTGAGCTGTATCTTTGTGGCTTTACTCTAGCATATAATACTATTTCATTTTTGGAAAAATCCTGCCACTGTCCCACCAGCTGTGGACATGGTTCCCTTGGCTTAAACTTCCAGACAAATCTGGATCAAAGATTTAGGCCAGAATCTTTTATGGAGAAAAATTATACATATCCAACAGTGGAACTGAATTTCTCCCTTTTCTTTCTTAATGTCAGTGACTGTGCTGACTCACGTCACTTTTGGATATGGCCATATAATTTTGAGAGGACATTGAAACAGGAATTCTTGGGCTCAGAGCAGACAAAAGGTGGTGTTTATCAGCTTATCCCAGAGTACTGCAGCATTCAAAGGGCATATTTACCACAATCTCATGGACAGAGGTAAGGGCTACAAGTGCTGGGACAGCTCGGGTCCCAGAGGAGAAATGCTGTGATCCTTGTCAGTCAATGGCCACTGGTTAAAGATTACCTGTGCTGGTCACTCCGATGGCTGGGTAGAGAAAGATTAACTCAGAGCAGCAGAAAGCTGAGCAAAGGTCTTTAACCTGGAAGCCATGATCTCTTCTGATTTCTGCTGGGGATCAGTAAACGAAATTGATTTGGGTTTCCCAATCATCAAACTCATTACATCAGTTCTGGATCGTCCTGGCATTTCCTGTAACCATTCGCCCTCTGACAGAGAGGGGCTGGGAATTATCTTCAGATTAGGAGACTGAGGTCTGGCTGACAATGTACCCTCCATGATGTTGCTTCTTCCCCAGCAAAATAGTTGTGGACAGGGCTCTTGGTGCCCTTGGCTTGCAGCCCGCTGTAAATTGTTTTAATTGCAGCGCTGCAGTACAGCCAGGAGCAGTCCCTGTGTGGTTCCCGTGTCCCAGGAGATGCCTGTCAGCATCTCACACAGGTGCTAGTTTTGAGTGCACTTTTGAGAAAAGCAAAAAAGTCAGTTTGTCCCCTTGAAGAATCGTGCAGACCAAGTTTTTATAGTGGTTTTATAACTCCATGTGATGTTCTGCCGAGGCCAGTGGTGACTGGAGGAGCTCCCTACAGCTAGTCTGGCCACCAGAAGGGCTTAAAGTCAGGGCCCAGAAGTAGCCAAGTAGCCTCAGTTTGGCATGGGCTGGACTTGGCTTTCCTTTTCTATATTCATCTGCTCCTAATTCCCCAGTTACACAGAAAAACAGGGCAGCAGTGATGGCAATGTTTTGGAGACACTGGTGACAATGTAACGAAGAATGAGCCATCCAGTGACATTGCAGGCACTCTCCTTGCTAGATGGAAACTTCACACAGATTCCACATTTAGTCTGAGCTGTTTTACCAACTCATTTATCACCCTATGTACCGTGAAATTGCATTTCCCATAGCTATTCCAGTCCCGTTTGCCATGGCTCTGCTGAACTGAAGCCTTTTTCACAAAATCCTGATTTCAAAACCTCAGAGAAAAAGAAGCTGCTATCTTTTCCCAGTCTATCCCTTGGGTAATCCAAACCAACAGGTCTGAGGGGCAGGCTGTGGCTGCTCAGCTGCAGCTGGTCAGAAATTACTTAGGTTGGTGCAGTGCTGAACATCAGACATCCTTAGGTGTTCAAAGATAGTTTTGAGTGAGAAGAAGGACTGAAGTGGGAAGGAAAGTGAGGCAGCAGCTTTTGTGAAAAAGTTGAAGTACTCTCTTTCTAAAAGAAAATATTTGTAGCATTGGTAACTGGAGAATGCTCCAGAAAGGATTTGCTCCCAGTGGGCAGAGGCCAGTTACCAGTGGCAGCCCGAGCCCCTGTTACCTGGCCAGGGAGAACTGGGAAGTTTCTGTGTCAAAACTAGAGAATCCCAGAATGGTTTGGGTGGGAAGGGACTTTAAAGATCATCTCCTTCCACCCTCACGGGCAGGGATGTCTTCCACTCTCCCAGGCTGCTCCAAGCTCTGTCCAACATGGCCTGGGACACTACCAGGGAGGGGCAGCCACAGCTTCTCTGGGCACCCTGTGCCAGGGCCTCATCACCCTCACAGCTGAGAATTTCTTCCCAATATCCCCTCTAATCCTGCCCTCTGGAAGTGTGAAGCCATTCCCTGTGTCGTGTGAGTCCAGGCCCTTGTCCCAAGTTTGTCCTCATCCCTCCTGTGAGCCCCTTAGGTGCTGCAGTTGCTGTTTTGCAGGGAATCTGCACACAGAAACAGCAGGGGGGTGAAATACAGATCTTGAGCTCAAAATAAAGTGAGCACTGGCAATTCCTGACCTAGCACTGGGAATTGCAACATTATGTATCAAAAGGATGGAAAGCAGAATTATTAATGTCCAGTACATGCTGTAGAAACAGGTGTGGGAATTACACAGGTGTTCAGGCATGCTGGAAGTTAGTCCTGATTAAGATCAGCTGTGAGGGTGGTTCAGGGACCTTGTAACGGTTTTTTGGTCTAAAGTGATTCTCAGTGTAGTGAGGGCTTTGGAAGTGGTTTTGCCAAGTTGGAGAAGCGTAGCCATTGCATTGGATATTAAATTTACTGGATAACAACAGCTCTGGAATTCCTGAGACTGCTCTTCTAGACTGACTTGCCTGGAGAGACTTAAAACTGACAAGTAAGTGGACTTCTATTTTTTGTGGTTGGAATGGGGTGACTGAGGTTCCTGTACTTGGCAGTTAAAATACGTGGTGGTTTGTCTTGGCATGTATTAGATTTGGTGAGCTTTATGGAAGGGTTATCTGTGGGAAATGTGCTGGATCGGAAAGAAATTACCAGAAAACTTTTTGCCTGCCTGCCACACCATCTTCATACTCTCTGAGGATAGCTTAGAAAGAGAAAAACAAATAAACCAGGGTGTGGTTAGTGAATCAGAGTTGGCCTTGTGTTTCAGCTTCTGGATGATCAAGGGTGGTGGTGTCTGGATCATGGACACTTCTGCCTTTTTTTCTGAAGCCTTTTTCACAAAATCCTGATTTCAAAACCTCAGAGAAAAAGAAGCTGCTATCTTTTCCCAGTCTATCCCTTGGGTAATCCAAACCAACAGGTCTGAGGGGCAGGCTGTGGCTGCTCAGCTGCAGCTGGTCTGTAATTACTTAGGTTGGTGCAGTGCTGAACATCAGACATCCTTAGGTGTTCAAAGATAGTTTTGAGTGAGAAGAAGGACTGAAGTGGGAAGGAAAGTGAGGCAGCAGCTTTTGTGAGAGAACAATTCCCTGTGTTCCAGGGCTTTTTCCAGATCAGCTCTTGGAAATCAGTGGGTTTGTACTGTGCTCACTGAGCACCGTGGCACAGAGCTCCCAAAGGTATTTAGCTGAAGTGTAACCCCAAACACTGTGTCATGGACTAGGCTGAGGCATTCACGTGCCCGCACTTCAGAACCCCCGTGTGATGTTTGTACCCGGCAGCTGCAGCTCCAGCGTGTGAGAAACAGGAGCAGTGTGAGCACTGGAGTCGCAGTCCCCGGGACAAGAGGTCGCTTTGTCCCTGCGGTGCGAGCCCGGCCGCAGCTCTGTGACAGCCCGGCCGTGCGGAGCTGCGGGAGGGCGGCGGCGCCGCGGGCCGCGCTGTGCCTGCGGCGGCCGGGGGGCTCTCGGGGGCTGCGGGCAGCGCCAGGGCACGGCCCTGC